CATACCCCATGATGGGGAAGCACACTTGTGATCGCAAAGGTGGGTGGTTTAAATCCCTGACCAGCAAGGTACTGCCCCCTAGCACTGCTCCCCAGGTCCTGAATTCACTGCCTGCTGCTACACCACATACCGATTAACTGCAGGGGACACATTTTGTTGTTGTGTGCTGTGGTGTGTCAACAATGACAATTAATCAGCTTCATCTGGGACACACCTTAGGAATTTATGCAGGATCTAAATTATTATTATTATTATTATTGGGTTTTTTTTTTTATTAAAACAAGACCACTAGCAGGATGTTAAAACAAATTTTGCAGTAGTTCCTAACATCTTGAGAGGGACAAGTAATGTTAACTCTGCTTTTTGAACCAAAAGGACTATAATGTTCTTCTTACACTGTTTTAGTTTCCAGCTCTGTCATTTTGCACGTCATCTCCCCTTATGTTTGACCTTCACTTCGAGTGATTCAGTATCAAGTGATTTCCAGTGTGTTATACCATATTACAAAGATAATAAATGGAACAATCACTGCAACTATTGCTGTTTAACTACTGAATACTGACAGATTTGGCACCTACTAGCCTATTATTTAGATAAACAGCACTGTCTTGTTTTTCCTAAGTACATTCTTTTTGTTATTACATAAAAGCTGGTGCATTTATCCAAAGCAGTCGTCATATTGTGAAAATATTTTACATGACAAATTCTGGTTAAGTAACCTTGTCAAAGAGCACAAGGGACCCACCTCATACTTGAACCCAGATCCAGCTGTGCTCCCACAGGCGCCAGAAGACGTTTTGAGCTCAGGGTGCTGAAAGTCTGAACAAGCAATGGACCTTATTGAAGTTCATTTGTATCATTTTTAGCTATCAACAGCTAACAACTGCAGTCTTTTTGTAGCAATAATCACAAGACAGACACTAATCATAAGACAGACATCAGACACTATGCTTTTCTTTGATGAAGTGCCCTCAGCACCCCTGCAGAGCAGCTGTTCTGAGCCATTATGGAAATTTACAGACGTTTTGGCAGACTGGAGTGTGTAACATGTTTGCAGGGTATTTAGAACAAGCAGCCCCCTACCAGGAAGGACAGACAGTCAGTTGCTTTTAGACGTCGTGACTTTTATGTCTTTTTATCCTGTACTTACCTTTGGACTCATTGTTTCCCAGTGGTGGATAGTTCAGGACCAGAAAGTAAAAATCCAGACCAAGATTTTGCTTCAACCAACCAGTTGAGTACTCTGTGACTTTGACACTTTATATTCCACCAGTTGGTTGAAACAAAATCTTGGTCTGAATTTTTACTTTCTGGTCCTGAACTTTCCACCTCTGTTGTTTCCTCTCCTTCACTGTCTTTCTCATGTTGTCTTGTATAACAATACAGTTTTAATTGCTTTTATGATATTCTGCAACACTAGCCATAATTAAAATAAATTTAACAGGAATCATGATTGAATTTTTGTTTACACCACACATAGAAATGATTAATTTTGTCCCATTTGTGTTTTCTTCTGCAGCACCCAGGAAAAAGTGTGTTTAGTAGGCACAGATACATAATATATGTTACAAGCTCTATTTAAGAAAAGTTTTTTTACTGCTTTAATCACTTTTAACAGTTTTGACAGGACCACACAAATTTCAGATTCTCCAACAATTTATAATAGTAAGAAATATTGCATATTGCTTCAATGTGGTATTTGCAACTTTGTAAAAAGAGATCTTCACTCTTTGAAAGAAATATGGCTTTTAATAGGTAAAAAAAAACATTGTATCAGTTCCATTGTGCCAAAATATTACTGTAAAAATAGAAAGCAATAGAATGTTGGTTAAATACAATGAACATGCATAATATTTTCCAATACCTTCATTCTAGTAGGAACACAAAATATTTTATAACTTGCAATCAGGAAATTCATGGCATTGAAGTTCAGAATGTTTAGAAAATATTGATATACTTTGTAAATGTAGTTATAATGTAAATATTATATATAGTGCAACTTAACATATTAATTAATTAACAAATACAAACTGTAAAAGTCATTGATTCATCAAAATACTGGCTTCCTATTCTCAGTAATTACATTGAATTATTGAATTACATTTCCTTCTATAACAAACAAATCCATATAACTGTTTAAATGTTTAACAGTTACCATTTGTTAGGTCAGATAAATGATTTTAAATGCCTTATTATGTATGAATATGCAGAAAATTGTACAGACTATCCTCATTAGAAAAAAATAATTACCTCCACAGTCTCATCTGCAAATCTCACAATCTCATATTCAGATACACAATGTGACAGTAATAATACTGGTGCTTTAAATGGATCTTATTGCTTTGATTAAGTACAATATTTTCACAAGAAAGGTCACAACAAAATATTTAGAAATTAATGCCATTCTAAATCAGGAACAGCAAGCATTAAGGAGCTGTATTTATACAGGGCTAAATAGCTAACATAGATCTGATGATTTGGATGTCACTGTGACATCAACACCGGCAGAAAATGAAACCTCAACTTTCCAGGACACACAGACTAAACCCCGCTGAGCTTCATCTGACCTGCACATCTATCCTCCTGCAGTTTGACAGCTGCTGCAGATTTTTCCGCTGCTAATTTTTAACTATAGCAGATCTGAAAACAGTAATTTGTCAATCAATGGAGTCAAAGCAACAACAAGGTAAAACAAGTTAGTTGCTCTTTTTATAGTAACTAGGAATGAAAGCTTATATTGAAGTGTGGAAATGGTAGGCTGCATCCGTCTTCCATTGTGCTTGTATACTACAGGGTTGCAGTGAGCCTGTAGTACTATACAGTGTATAGAAATGGTGTTTCTATAAGGAATAGTTAATAATAGGCATGATTTATTTTTTTTTAAATTAAAGTTTCAATATAGTCAATATATCCCTTAGCATACCATCTCAGTCTTTTATGAAACGACATAATTTGTGCTGTGTAATATGCAAAAATGATTAAAGTACATATTACAGCATTAATTACACTCACAGCAGAACTCCTTACTACCAAATCTACTGACATTGTAATTTGGTATGCTAGAGAAAAGCATCCACTGGAAATTTTTGAAGGTAGTCAATGTTGAAGGATCACTATATATTGCTGCATATAGGAGATATATGAAGCCAATATATCAAATTAAACAATACAACTAATAAAACTATAGAAAAGGCAACAAAAAGAAAAAAAACCCAATGTTAGTTTTTCATACACATAAAGAAGAAACGTAAATGAAATCTTTTTTACTTCTCCATCGCTAGATCCTGTATACATTACTTTCTAACCCCATTCTACATCTATACAATTTCCACCTAAACACAGGCACAAGCTTTTAAACAATTACTAAATTTTACCATGGTACTCACTGAGCAAAGGTCACCCACACGCATTTTCATCAAATCACATTCATTCTCAATTTCTTTGGAATTTGGATGAGTCATTAGTTGCTAATATAATTTCTATTCCCTTTTCTGTATGTCATTCACTGCATAGCAGGCAATATTTATTTATCCTATGTTTACATGAAAAATACACTTAAGGGTTATTTGTTAATTTCTCCATAGTTATGGCTGCAGTACTTTGGGTTTTCAATTCGGTTACGAATTACTCAGGCGACTTGGATGGTCATTCACGCTTCAAGTATTAACACTTGTGCTTACGTGCATGACACCAGACAGTTTTCACGGCGTTTCTTTGCACGTGACTAAGCAGGAATCTTTGGCTAGTAAAAACTGAGAAGCAGCAGTGCAGTAAGTGCATATAGTGTGTGCAGAGCGACTAACTTTGTAGCAAAGAACCTGGGAAGCAGCTTGATTTCAGGAGACATGACATAACACAAGACACTGAGACAATAGTGCAGAGAACAGATATGTTGCCATAGGAATAACTGAGATGTGGACAGGAACTAAAGGAGAGAAGAGAGGTGAGTATATCAATGGTTAATATATGGAATTTTCTGAAAGAAAGATGTTTTTCTTACACGTGTACCTGGGCATTCTTTAGAAGCTCAGCCTAGCTGCACTTACGTCTAGTTGACTCCTTGACAATATGTCTGTGATGTGCTATTTACCTTCACATGCACATCGCTTTGGGCAAAGGCATCAGCTTGATATGTCAATGTAAATGTAAAAACCAGAAAGATATGAAAGGAATGATTGTTTCCTGTACAGCGTTCAACATTTCCTACTGAAGGTGTATTTGCTGGTCTGGGTTTTCACTGTCGTTGCTCTGTGTCCAAAATGAATGTATACATCACGTTCAATGGTTAATCAAAATATGCACAACAGAAAATGAGCAGACAAACAGCAAACCAGTAGCTGTCCAAGTTACACTAAAACAATAAGTTTTAGTTTAAGTCAGTAGCAGTTTCTAAGCTGCAAACAAAAAGCAAGCGGGATTCTGGAATACGACACAAATGGTCAAAAGTATTAAATTAAATTACTAAAAAGCACAACAGATTTCATGATGATTACTCTATAATCATCTAACTGGTATATATCCACAATGTAGTAAAACATTTAGCTAACCTTAAATACTGAGCTGTTATTTTCCCAGCTGTCTTAAAAAATAAGTATCTTTCAGAGGCTCCAGCCTGTCTTATTATTGGAATAATTGAAATACCCACAATCAGAAAATGGATGTACTGGCGATTTGCAAAATGAGGAATGGAACTAACCCTAAACCTAACCTTAAACCTAACCATAAACATAACCCTGACCCTAACTCTAATCCAGACCCTTACCCTTACCCTAACCCAACTATACATATATTACTGTTTTGCATACTTCGGTTCTAAACAAAGTTAAGGAGGCATAACTGAGCTGTAATGTTATTGTTGATTCAGCAAAAGGTTAACCTTCCCTAAATATCTTAGCAAATGATTCTGTTTCTTTGAGGGCTGCTAAGAAGTGTTAAAGATTCTGATATGTATTTAAAGTTGAAAAAGGCATATGATAAAATATCATGTAATAGGTTGACCCTAATATAATAATCCCCCTAGTGTTCTGCCATGTTCATGTGCATTTGAATTTATGAATGATTAATTTGTCATTAACAGCAGCTCTGGTCCCTGACCCATTTACTTCTTGATTACAGAAGAACAGGACCATAGGAAGGTCTGTACAACAACATTGTGGTACAGGAAAGTTCATTCGATGTACATCTTGCATCTGGGGGTCTCTCAGTTTCTTAAGTCTTATTACAGTCTGTATCCTATCTCCTACTGATCTTCCATATACTGTAGATTCTCTGCCCTGGCCAGTTTTATATGCTACAGAATAGATGAGTATTAACACTGTCCCAAGCGCAGTAAGAGTATTAAACACACTTTCAGAAAAGCTGTATAGCGACACCCAGAAATCACAATAAATGAGTGTCACTTAAATGTTTCAAATATTTCAACTGATATCAAGGAAACCTGAAGAAAAAAAACACCCACTGTCACTGGTGACCCTCTTTAATTTTTCCTATATAGGGAAATAATATCTATTTATAAAAGCAACTACAGCATACAAAACTATAGATAATAATTCCTAGGATGAAGGTTGAAATAAACCATACCCATGAGTTTCATTTCTATTATAAGTACACCTGCATATTTCAAAAGATGGCAAAAATGAAAACACAACCAGTAATAAGCAGAAAATAAAAAATTAAAACCTGAAATGTAAGGAAATGACCCATGAGCTTTGATATTGCAGCTTTTAGTCTGTACTTGCCTTGACTGCCAATTAAAATCAACCTTTAATACTTCAGGTTAAGTCTTTCGCAAATAAATAATGGGGAAGGCTGTGTGCCCCGACGCTCGTGACACTGGCCTAACCCTCTTCCTCGTCCGCTTCGTCTTGGTTGGCATACATTCCTGCTTCCCATCGTATTGCCATGTTGCTTTTTCGACGCGTGACTCTTGTAGCCTCTAGAACCTATCCAAATAGAAACAAAAGAGGAGAGCAATCTTTATCCTAGAGCAGGGGTCTCAAACTGCAGTCCTCGGGGGCCGGAGCCCTACACAGCTTTTGGTTCACCCTCATTTAACACACCTGATTCAACTCCTTGTGCTAATTACCACATAGCTCTTGAGCTGAATCATTTGTTGTAGAATAGGAAAGAACTAAGCTACACAGGGCTCCGGCCCCCCAGGACTGGAGTTTGACACCCCTGTCCTAGAGTGACCTGATGTCAATAGAAAACAAATGAACAAATTTTCCTTCATGAATTCAGTCCATCACTGCACTGAAATGAGTTCCTATTTGTTTTTGCCTATTTTATCATTGTAGTTAATTCTTATGAATAAATATTTTCTTGAATTTATGATTTTAAAACAGTTATACAGGTAATCCATGGGTTCTATACAATTGTTGCTTCTAACATTTTTGATAGCCTCTGATGAATGCTTTACTGATATGTTGTCAAACCTGACAGACAGACGTACTTTAGTGATTTTGGGGGGAAATAGTTAATTTTAACGATATAACAGAAGTGGCCCCAGTTACAGATGGTTTCATAATGGTGGAGCTAAGAATGTGGCGGAACAGGAAGCAGGCGGATTTGCAGCCACTTCTGTCCTCCCACAAGGCAGCTGTCCTGACAGACAGCAGCACATGGATGCTTACACTGGCATCTTCCACTTTCTCTCGACGCTTCACTTTGTGAGTCTCGTAATCTTCCATCAGAGTCTGCATGAAATTTTTGGCCCTCTGGGGGCCTGCGGAGTCGTCACTGCTGACATCAGAAATGGACGGTGTTGGGGAGCCCTCCGACGAGGGTGAGACAGGTGGTGGGGGGCGAATCTTCTCGATCTTGCCTACATGGAAGAAATGTGTTAATTCACTTATTTTCCGGTAGGTATTATCAGAAGCACACCCCCTCAGCACTTTCATGCAACTTTCACAACTACAAATGCAATAAGAAAACATTGTTCCGATGGCATTAACAACTGGAACAAATGTATTAAATCTGTTCCAGATAACACATATAGTCATCCTTTTATGTTGTCACAGAATTACTGCAGGGATAATTAAAGTCTACAGAGTTCTCTAGCATTACAGCTGCACTTCATATAAGAGTAGTGAGTCACTCATTTTTGCTCTTCTGAGCAGGACTACTGATTAACGGTGTAAAATTCGGGGTAACACTTCACTTATGGGGCCACAAATACTTAGTGCTTAGTTACTGAGTTACATAAATGTTGAAAAAACAACAGATGCAAACTCAGAGATTGTATCAATATTACAGTAAATTAAAAAATGGAACAATTGAAATATTTTGGTGGTACCCTTGATCCAATGCGTAGTTTTAAAAATCATGTTAAAAAGTTGGGAAACACATTGAAATTTAATTTGGCAAATTTTAGACATGTTAGATGCTCTCTTACTGTTGAGAGTACAGTATCTCTATTTAAATGCCATGATTATTCCACATTTTTTATATTGCATTACAAAAGTTGGTCTCAGGCATGTAAAGCAACCTTAGGACCACTTGAATCACTATATAAAGATGCCCTTCAAATTCATGACAAAAACACATCAAAATCATAATTTTCGCATATTGGCTAAATATGGTATTTTACATTTAAAAAATGTAATAATGTACTCAAATGTCTGTTTATGTTTTAAAATCATTCACTATACTCTGAAAAAAACACAAGCAACTAGATCTACTTTAAGAGGAGAATGCAGTATTCCACGATGTAAAACCTCTTTTGTTAAGTCATCTTTTTTCTTTTCAGCTATAAATCAATGGAACAAATTACCAACTGAGCGTATTTTATGTACAAATTTAGTATCTTTTAGTAATTTAACAAAGAGATGGATATTGTCAGATCATATGTGTTTTACTAATGTGACCTGTATTTTATGTTATTAGGGATGGGATATTAGGGGGTTGAAATACTGTCTGTATGACTTCATGACCTGTATTGTTTACATCATTTACACTTTATTCTGTTTCTAATTTATTGCTTCGTTTACCTGCTTAGGGACTACAGGTAGAAAACAGCAATATTTGCTAAAACCTGGTTCGATGCATCTTTCCTTGCTATACAAGGTTAATGTTTTATTTTGCACTGTCATTGTTTAAATAAACAAATAAAACAAAAAAACTAACAAATCATGAACAAATATAGCAGCTACGTAAGATATACGATGCTTCACAATTCATTAATGATGAACGAACATGAGATCAGAATGTAACTAAGACTTAGTTTGTGGTTAATTGATACATAAGTAAGAGCATAATACTGCATTATTTGTGCCTCAAGTAAAGCATTGCCAATCCATGTCTTTGCTAAAATCAGTCCACTGTAGAGTGTCTTAAGTAACCCATACCACCTTAAGTCTTTTCTCTGCCACTTAAATGAAAGTATTTAAGTTGCTAATATTCACTAGTTTTATGTAACTAAAACAGATTGCATCTTTTAACGTGGAAACATGTATAGTGGATAAGTGGATTAAGTGTGAATGACTGTATCCAGAAAAGGAGTAAAGTAAAATACTCAATCATGAAGAGTTCGATAAACAAACACTTGTGACTCTTAATGAAAGTATGAAGTATGATAAAGTGTGATCCCTACCAGGTGCTGTCCTTCCTGTGGGACTCAGCCTGGACGGCAGCATCTTGGGATTTTGCTTCAGACTACTCTGTGTCTTCCTCTGCCTCTTTAGCTCCTCCTCTCGTTCCTGAGTTGCTCGGATTTCTTCCTCGATCATGGAGAGGGTCCTTTGCTTGTGAGATCGCAGCCTGAAGGGCCCTGAGCTGACCTCCTTGTCTTGGTTTCTTGTTACTGAGGCAGTGCTCCTGAGCTCGGCTGCCTGGGAATATTTACTAAAATAGCTGAACTCTTCTGGCTGTCCGCTGGATTTTGGAGAGCGATCCGGAGGCTCGCTGTAACTGCTGGAGTCCACGTCTGTTGGAAGTGCAGTCATTTCAGTTATCTTATCAGGACTCCTGCATTCCAGGGGAGGTACCAACTCATCTTCACATTTATTGATCTCTTCCAAAGGCTGCAGTATGAGATCAGTATTTTGTTCATAGTCTGGAGGCTCCTCTGGGCCCTGTGACACAGTCTGCTGGGCAATTGCATGCTGGATGGCATTCTGGACTAAAATGCCTGCATGGTATTCCAGCTGTTCCTCTGTCAGAATATCTGTATCATTAGCTTTCAACATAAGAGGCTTGTTAACTGACAGGTCTGGCCCAATGTTAACCGTCTGGACGATATATGACATGGAAGAGGACTGATCTGTCAGAGAGATGGTGACAGTCTCACTGGGAGCAGCACTGTCACTCACATTTTCCAGTCCGAAGTGTTTCTTATCGCCCTGAGATTTGAGGGAAAGGTCATCGAATCCATAATCAGCTTCCTCTGGCTTAAAGGAAGAGTCTGTGAAGGTATCAGGCTCTTCGTCCCTAAGGAAAGTCATCACAGCCCGGACAGGTGTGAAGTCTTCATCATCTACCCATGTTTCGTCATTGTCTTTAATCTCATTTTTTGGTACGCTCTCGATTGAGCGATTAGTGGGAGATTCCCCTACAGTATAGCAGTTGTTGTGGGATTTCAATGTGGTGACTTGGCTGATATCTTGAGGAACATAAATCTCAGCGGTTACAGTGTTTGGCTTTTCTACATTTGTAATATTTGAAATTCTGAAGGGTTTGGCAGAATAGATTTTAGGAGTAACGTCTCTTTTTTGTACTGGTCTGTTATTCTCCATCTGAAGGAACTGGCTTCGTGCCGCAGAGAAACCGATCTGCTCCATGACAACATCCTCCTTGCTGATTTCTGCTGGTACAGCAGGGACTGCAGTTGGTTTTGATGATGCTGGTGGCATATTTGACATTTCTGGCCTTTTCTGCTTCCTTTCCTCATACCTCCTATGTGACGCAAGCTGGTCCGGGTCCAGTTCTTCCTCTAAAGTTTTTTCTTGAGGCGGATTCCACCATTTTGCAGCTATTCCAGGATTCTTCTTGACTGCCTGGCCTCTGATCAGCTCCAGTCGTTCCTTTTCCAATTCTGCCATCTCTTCAGAGGGTCTAACCTTCTTCACGTGAATTTGCTCTTTTACTGGCGTGTCAAAGAGCTTAGAAGGTTTCTTCTCTTCCTGGAAAGCCCGAAGCTCGAAGCGGGGCTCCTTCTTAATTGCTGTCACAGTTGTATCCCCGAGAAGCTTTTTGTAATCCGTGTCGACTAACCCTGAGTGACCGTTGTAATTTTCTGAACCTTCACTGTTCAAAGGGGCCTGCTTCATTCCTTCTGTCGCTGCTTCACTGTTGTATGGTGACTGCATGTCAGCATCTTGACAGCTGTTTTGTAGAAAAGATGCACCTGTCTCAGGGATATTGATTGTCTTTAATTCAGCAGAAGTTTCCTCTGATGTGGTATCAGGATCCCAGCAGTTTGCTTCCTTGTCAGAGTGAAGTCCTTCCTCAGCAGCATCCCTGTCCAGTGTTTCCTGTACGTCCTCCATGGTATCAGGGCCACCTGAATGGTGATAATCATCTAGGCTTTCTGGTGGGGCCTCCATGATGCTTAAACCTCCGAATATCACGTTGACCGAGTCAAGGAAAGTGACACTCTTTGAGGGAATCTCTCTCTTCAACTGACTGGCATCTTTGCAGGATGTCTAAAAAAAAAGACAAAATCAGGAAGTATGAAAAATGAGGAGTTGCGTCATAATATTAATATAAAATTATTTCCTGTTTATTGTTTACAATATTAAAAATAATGATAGCTTTGCCTAAAAGTTGTCAAACATTAAACTGCTGTGGCGGACTGACTGCACTGGTTAGTGAATTCTGCAAATTACTACAAATTTTCCACATCAGAAAGTTGTAATATGTACAAAATTGCTGTGGGGATTAAAGTCTGTCTTTCCTTTGGTTGGCTATGTTTACATTTTGACGCTGCATTTGCTTTTGGCCTAATTGCTGCTTGTCTATGCTTGTCTCAACATACTTCTCTTCCAATTAATAATAATAATTGATACTTTATTGATCCCTGTGAGGAAATTCTCTTTATGCCTCCCTCAACTTGCTCTTTGCAGAGTAAGCTGTCTGCCAAGGGCAGCCACCTGTAGTGGTACCCAGGGAGCTGGGGGTTAAGGGCTTTGCTCAAGGACCTGCAAATGGACTGAGGCTAGGGTTTGAACTAGTGACCTACTGATTACAGGCATACAGGCTTAGCCAACTGAGCCACATGCTGCCCCTGTTAAATGAAGAATGATTTGTTGAAAACTCGAAAGCGTTCAAGAGCATCTTGAGTCAACAGTTAGTGTTCCCTGGCATAGACACAAGCAGTGACGTACCTAGGCCACAACAGAATGACAGCCAGGAGAGAAGTACACAGAAAAATCCTACATAACAAACTGTGAAAGGCAATATTAGGACAAGAAATTGAGAGATATCTTAGAAGAGACCACAGGCTCTTTTTCCAATTCTGCCATCGCATCATATTTTCATCATTCAGTGTGAATGGCAAAAAAAAACGAATCTGCAAAAATAAACATCATAATTTACACTCCAGATTATGGTGCCTCTTTATGAATTATTGATCTTTTGACCTACCATGTTTTGAACAAAATTCAAACAGAAAATATTGGTTTTGTTCTTACACGTTTATATTGCATTCCAAGGAAATAAATTAGGCTACAGGGCACAGGCTCAGACATATGTAACATATGTAAATATGACAGTTTGCTAATTCATGCAGTAGACACAGAATGCCCAAAAATCAATAGGACAAACCAGGGTGTAAGCAAACAGTCAACAAATGTAAGGCAAAAATGCAAATATGACACAAGAATTTATTTGTACGTGCATATAATTAACTTCCACAATATACAGAGACTACACACATCACCAATATAGCCTAGCCGGGAATAGGTTTGTACCTCAGGGCCGTCTGTAGTGGTAGGCTGACTAGGGCCCCAAATTACCGGCTTTGTGGAGGAAGCGAAATGATCGTCACTTTTCTTGTTAGTGGGGCCTCCCAATTAAAGTTTTGCCTGGGGTTCCCCGAAAAGACAGAGCCGGCCCTGTTTTACATCTTCGGTCAACCAACTCCAATCAGGACATTGATGGTTTACAGTCAGGTGATTGGTGATCTCATGTGAACTGGCAGCTTAATTACCAAATATACTGGTTAAAGAATGTGAAACCACAAATGCAGGATGGTTAACAAATAACAAATAATGTCGTTTGGTTTGAAAGTGTAGGACTGAATGGCCTCAATTATGTTCTGAAACTGACAAATACGGAAATGTACCAAATAACCCGTACGTGACAAATCAATGAAGCATGCATGCAATATCTTAGCAGTACTTTATTTCCCATAAAACAGCTACATTACACATGACTCAAGCGTATCCAAAGTAGTCTAAGCTTAAAGGTATGCATTTACATACAGTATACAGATGTGTCACATAATAATTTGTTTTTTATGGTATTTCATATATAATAAGTTTATCTTATTTAGTTTAACTGAAACATACCAGAATGACATGGTTTCTTTTACTGGTCAAAAAACAGTCAAAAGCCAAGCAGACATGAAAAGTGCATGAACAGCATCTTCAGCTCCTTTGCCTATTTTCGAATTAAACTTATTCTGTTGTTCTCTCTTTTGACTGAAATTCAGCATTGTGCAATGCGCTCAGCATGTGCAATGTGCTCAGCTCCCAACATCTGGAAGTAATTACGAGGCCATAAAAGGTTAACTACTTCAGGTTTGCAGCTTGCATTTGGACCGTGTCTGCCAGCGAAGCCTAACAGCAAACTACAAAGTACGTCCTGCTAGCTCACAGGCCGACAGTCTGCATTCTCACTCGATTCCCATGACAAAATGTGCTCGAAGCCTGGGTCGTGCATACGCGCCTTACAAAAAAGAAGAAAGAGATACATCTATAAAACGTGAAGTTTAACTAACAGATTACAATAACTATTACAGTGGGAAAACGCCATGTACTCAAAAACATCTGTATTATAAAACATTGTGTGTAAACATTGCCTCTATCACACTATTCTACTTACACTATTCTTTTCTAATGAAAAGGGAAATGTATCATAAGAATGCAATATGCAAAAGAACAAGGCAAACAATTGATTCAGTAAGTAAAAGTTCCAAATGGCGGAATCTTAATTGTACTGAATGTGTAGGCCTATCTGAAAGTCTTTTATGCATGGACTATTCAGTCATGTTAGAACAGAAAGCATAACGTACAACCCCAATGCTTCCTCCATCCTTTGCACTGGATTAAGTTAACACGATTCTCAGATAATTCTTACCACAACACTGGGCTTCTCTCCTTATGCCTTCCAAAACATTACTGAGCTGAATTGATCCAGCATTGCTCTGTCCTGCTTCTCTGTTGTTTTTTTTTTTTCCTCTTCTGCACAACGCCTCTCTTCTATTCTGCTCACTAAAGCCAAATTCTTTCCCCTGCATCTCTAGCAGACGATGATGTCATACGTTGAGGGGTCGGTTAAAGAGGAAGAGTGTTTCGTTTGTTTTTAAGAACCTATTCAACACAATGAGCCTCTGTGGCAGCCAAGTTCATTTCCCTCATTCCTGCCGGCCCGGTCCGGCCCATATGGCTTATAGCGCGCAAACAGCAGCCGCACGGTGAAACACATTTCCTATACAGGCAGAAAGAGGCATTCAGCAAGCGCATGTTTGTCAGAATTCATGAAATAAGATATTAAAAATTAGCAGTTCAAACCTAGTGCGATCCAGTGATTTGGCTACAACATTACTGACCACTTGGCTGCAACAACACTGACCATTTGGCTATGACAACGCTGACTGTCTGATTGACCTCAAGCGAGACCTGAAGATGATGCTGACTGTCAAAGGACTTCTTCTCCATCACGATAATAAAACTAACCTGGATTAAATAATAATCTCCCATAAGAGTCACTAGATTTTAGGATTCAATTATTTCGGAAAAGCATTTGATTTGGCTGATAGGGAAAATGTACATACATTAAAATACCGGAAAAATCAATATATATCCCCTATTAAAAGAAAAAAAAAGCATAATGTATATTGTATGGTACATGGATTATAGTGACATCCTATTTAAAGAAAAAACACAAGGTATATTGCATGGTACAAGAATTTATGTAATATTATCATGAATGGAGCCAACCAGCAGGGGGTGGTGTCCCAAAAACATAAATATAGTAAGAGTTTGGTGGAATGTTATGTCCTTGAATCCGCAAGGACTGGTTCATATTCTACAAGCAATCGCCTTATTTTATGATAACAGAATATTCAGTGAATTTTTTATATTCATTTTTAAGAACAAGTTATTACAGTATTTACTATGGCGGCCTGCCAGATAAATAAGTCTGAAGGTATTGTTCTTAGTATTGTGTCTAAGAAATAGCATACAGTACATACGACACAGTTAAAATATGTTTTAATACATTGGAATGTATATTCAAACTACTAATCTTAGGCCTCTTGGTGAGAATGTAAGGGGACGAGCTGGTGTAGCTTCTCTAATGGTGTTTGTTGACAATGTGACACTCTATATGTTTATTGTACGGAATATGCCCTTTACTAAATATAACAGTTTAAATACACAAAACCTGTCGTTTCAGCCTCCCCTGATTCCTCACTGGGGCTTTATTATTAATAAATATCGACATATTTTGCATCTCTAAATTCTTAAGTTTCTGCTGGTGCTTTATTAAATAAGTGATACAACACAAAAATATTAAATATTTTTGTCTTTTCAAAGAATCTAGAATGTTTGGAACTTTGGATTAACATTAATAGTGAGCGAAAAGTGCAGGCGCCCCCCTAGCGTCTGTCATCGGCGGTGTTCACACCTCCCCCCACTCCCTCAAACTCCACGACGGGTACAAACCCAAATATGGAGAGAAGCTTATCCAGGAGAAGGGAAGGAAAGGGAAAGAGGATGGGAGGGGAAAAGTCATCTGGTTTCTGTCAGCAACTCTCAATATCACCAAAGGGAGGGAGCAGAGCAGTAGCCTAAAGGTCCTTAGTGTGAGAACCACTCACTATCACACCATGTCTGAGGATGACTGTCAGACTGCTTAAAGGGGCGGTAATAAACTGTACACCAGTCCACATTAGAGGATGACTGTCAGA